ACATATATATATGTATATATATATATAATGAACCAAACAAAAATGAATCACTATATATATGTGAAACACAGAAAATAGACGTTAAAAAGGAGTAAACAAAAATATACCAGCGAGCGAAAATATCCATAAACACTCACCTTATCAATTTTAAATCTTCACCACACAAATGAAACAAAAGAAGAAAATAATCATAATAGAACACTATTTAGGACACTATATTGTTTGTCAAACACAAGCACACTTCACCAAGCGAATGAAGAAAACTGACAGAATCGGAAATACAATGCAAACCGAGTTCACAAAAATTTCACTGTCAGCACTTTACCGCTCACGGTCACCGCCCGGCGTGCGATCAAATAGCTTAATCAGCATCAGAAGAATACCGAAATAAAATTGATGCATAATAATTCAAAACGATAAATTTTAATTCCTCAAAATTGTTTTCAAATTGAACTGGAAAATAATTTTGAGCGGAGACTGTGATGTCCAGAATTTTTATGTAATAAATATAATTTTAAAAAAATAAACAATGATACACCAATAGGCATAATGCAAAATAAAACCAAATAATGGTGAAACATTTTCATCACCTGTCCTCAATAATTCCAAAAATAATGGAGAGCAAGAGTGATGAAATGCTTCATCAGCACTTGACGCGATTCACGAGAGGAAAAAGAACTCGGAGAGGTGATAGTTTGCAGAGGAAATACCCAATAAGTTTAAATCATCCTGGAGCTACTTTAAATTAAGGACGTAATATCGCGAAGAATGGCATGACTACAAATATGAAAACATAGCCCTGACCTGCTGTGAAATAGGTCTCTAGAGTCACCTTCGCGAGTTATTCATGTTTGCCCGTGTTGCCTTGGAGAGCTTCAATGTCGAGAATATGCGTTAGTTCCAAAACTGAACCTGTCATATCCAGACACAACAAAAGTCGCTGTAAAATGTCCTGGCTCCGTCGAATGTGGAGTAGAAAATTCAATCAGTCTAGTGATGATGATTACTATCGAGAAATTCAGATCCCTCGCTTTTGTCTTGGTATCACTGGTGTCTGGTCAGAACGTGGTAACACTAATAGAATCAGATTTTTCATATCTGTGACCACCGTGATTCTGTTTGCTGCTCTACCTAACCTCGTGGATATGCTCACCACCGTCAATGAGAATCAATTATTCTTTCAAATCGGTTTAGTCATGTTTTACTATTATCTGATCAGCTGTATGTTTTTACTCCATTTCAATTCACAACTTCGTGGATCTATTTTGGAGGAGATGCGGGATAATTGGGAGACTATTCATTCTGTGGAGGACAAACAAGTTATGCGTCACTATGCTGAATGTTCGAGAAAAATATCATTCATTTTCATTGCATTGAAAGTTTACACCGTGTTTGGTAAGTCTGCAGGGTGTCCCAAACCGACATATCGTGAGATTAGCTCAGGGGGGTTATTTGGAGACGAAAACTCTAATGAAATTTTTCTCTCCGACGCTTTGTTTATAAGTTGTCAAGAAAAAACGATAGTCAATCAAACGCTCTTCCCCGCTAGAGAGATCATACCCCTTTTCCCATTTAAGCCGGAGGGATGATGGCATTGAATGTACAATCGATTCTCATCAATTTCATTTCTTGATATTGAATGAGAGTGGAGATATGAATTTTTTACGTTGACTCTGATTTTTAGAGTCCTATTGCGTTTAGGAACCAAATGACTCTGACGCCGCGTTGAAATTCATTACAGGTTTTCTCAACCGCGTATGATGATAGAAGAACAGTTTTTTTCAGATCATTGTGCATTAAATGCCCAATCGATTGCCATAATTTTCATTCCTCCAGTCGAAGTGAGAGAGGAGATATGAATTTTCAAAAAGAGGGTGATTAGCGGTGGATTTGTGCTTTGCTGATGAATAACTCCTTAACGAACCGCCGGAGACAAAACTTTCATTGGAGTTTTCGTCTCCAAATAATTCCCCGAGCTACCCTCACGATTTGTCACATCAATTTTGGGACACCCTATATAACAAACTCTCCATTTCACACTTCAATCTTATTGGTGGATTCAGGCGGGTGGTTCAACCTAATCGTCAGTGCATTCATAAGGGGAGAAAACGTACTCGCTGGAACGAACAAGATGAAGTTTTTATTTCACCGGTCTGGTACATTCGTTGATGCTCTAGGAAGCACCTCTTTCGTCATCGGCGACATGTTATCGAATATCGCATCGCTTGGAATCGACACATGCTTCACAGTCTTGACCGTGCATACTTGTGGACGACTAGTTATACTTAAAAACAGGATAACGACATATGAAAGGCAAACTCGTCATCATTTTGAAGAGGACATACCGAGGATGTGCAGTTGTTTAAAGTGCATCGTTGATGCTCACGTGAAAATCTACGACTCCGTCAGAAGAATTGATGACTATTTTCATGTTGTGACTTTTCTGAGACTCTCTGCGGGAATGATCAACTTCGTCTGTATTGGATTCGAGGTTTCAAAGGTAAAAAATAGGATATTAAATAATGACAATATTTCAATCTTCTAACCTATCCAGGCAGTTAAAAACAAGGACTACGGATTCCTGATGACATTCACAAATACGGCGTTTTTAAATTTCTCAACATTTTTTCTGAACTGTGAGACGACAGAAATGTGTCAACAAGCGAGTTATGCTCTTGGTCATGCTGCGTACTCCACTGAATGGCTGACAAAACACCCGAGAATTTCACGAAATTTGATTTTCATCATTAACCAAACGAGAGCTCCACTGAAATTCACTGCATTAAAATATTTTGTCCTTTCTCGGAATCTCTTCAAAGAGGTGAGCCGATGTTTCAATTCAATTGAGTGTTGATATCATTGAGATGATAACATAACTTTTCAATTTCTGTTGCAGTATTTCATAACAGCGATATCATATATCTCAACGCTGATATCTATCAAATTAGCCGAATGAACTCTCGGTAGTTGAAAAAGTACACTTTTCTTTCTGATGTTCATCGCAAGATTTTGCATTTCGACCGCAGTCTCAAAATGTATATTTCCAATGCAGAATCATGAAATTTCATATTCGCACTTAATTGTTGTCCAATTAAAGGGAGAGTACTGTGAGTTTTCAAAGTCGTGGGTTATTGGAATGAGACTTTTCATACGTTAAAGATCGATTATATAGATCTGAAAACGAATAATTAGTGCAAAAAACAATTTTTTTCGTTGGTCGTTTGCTCGAAAACGCTTAAAATGCCAAAAACAGTCCAGGGCCTCCCATTTTTGAGCTACGGAGGATTTTTTTTTCAAAATTTTTGGAAAAATATGTGGAACAACAATTACGAGCTAGTTTTTTTAATTCGCTTCTTACATAGATAAATTTGCTTTTTTTGTCTTTTTTTACACAAATAGTGAATTTTTTAATATGAAAAAAAAAAAAAAATCAGCTGTGGAGGAGCCGAATCCCCAAAAAACTGGCTCGTAATTGTTGTTCCATACGTTTTTCCGAAAATTTTGAAAAAAAAAAAATCTTTCGTAGCTCAAAAATTGTAGGCCCTGGACTGTTTTTAGCATTTTAAGCATTTTCGGGCAAACGAACAATAAAAATTTTTTTTTTGCACTAATTATTCGTTTTCACATCTATATAATCTATGCAACGTATGAAAAGTCTCACTCCAATAACCCACGACTTTTAAAACTCATACAAGTCTCCCCTTAAGTTGAAGTGAAGATGATGAGATAAAGTACAATAAATAAATACATCTGGAAACCGCAAAATTGTGAGTTTATGAGTTGTTTGTGTTGCGATCTGAAGAGACAACTGTTAAAGTGGTATGACAAATTCAGAAGGCACTGTGTAGTGGGATCTTTAGAATGAGAGTTCATTATAGACTCAATATTACAGACGATAAGTTTTTGAAGGATGTTGCGATGGATGTAGAGAAGGAAAAGCGAGTTTGCCCGAATGAGAGAACAAAAAGTGAGATAGTTAAGATCGGATGGATATCGAGTGAAGATGTAGGGCAATTTAGCTCACTGGACGATGTATCTTTGGGTATTACCTCTATTCATTACAGTTGTGTGTAGTTACGGCACATTTCATTACAATAACTCATTACAGGGAAAATTCACGACAGTGCTTTTGATCACATGGACAATTCATCACGGAATTTTTGATTATCGCGTGCTTCACCAATTTAGATTTAAATTCAAGGGTGATTTCATTTTATTTTGTTATTGAATTGTAATGCAGAAGCTTCCTTTTTCTTTGAGATTATTATTGAATTGTATTGAAAGAACTGCAATAAAGTTGTACTTTAAACATTAAATAAAGGTTCTGTATCCCAATGATTGTATTCTCACATGAAATATAATGAATAAATAAAGCGATAGAAGAAAATATGGAGCTGAAATACTTTGTTTGATAACGAATTATGTTTCACTCCTTAACTTCCATCTGGTATTTTATTGAAATTTTTGGGTATCATTGTTGTCCCATTGTGCGTTTTCTTTTTTGGCGCGGTTCGCGAGAGGCAAAAGGACTCTGAGAGGTGAGAGGTTTGCACACGAAATACCCAATTAGTTTAACTCATCGTGGAGCTACTTTAGGTTAAAGACGTCATTATGCGAAGAATGGGATGACTACAAATATGACAACATAGCCCTGACCTTTCTATTTTTCGATCGATCATGAGAACCGTAAAATGTGAATGTGAATTTCTATGCTCCTTGCACACACGCTGCAGTTCTTTATATATATAGAAATGATCTCTTGTTCTCTATCATCAGTGATATTTATCCGGAAAAATGATACATAACATGGAGAAATCAATTCAACACCCAATACAGACGTTATGAGTGCAACATTAAACCATTCTGTGAAATAGGTCTCTAGTCACCTACTGAGTTATTCATGTTTGCCCGTGTTGCCTTGGAGAGCTTCAATGTCGAGAATATGCGTTAGTTCCAAAACTGAACCTGTCATATCCAGACACAACGAAAGTCGCTGTAAAATGTCCTGGCTCCGTCGAATGTGGAGTAGAGAATTCAATCAGTCTAGTGATGATGATTACTATCGAGAAATTCAGATCCCTCGCTTTTGTCTCGGTATCAGTGGTGTCTGGTCAGAACGTGGTAACACTAATAGAATCAGATTTTTCATATCTGTGACCATCGTGATTCTGTTTGCTGCTCTACCTGAACTCGTGCATATGCTCACCACCGTCAATGAGAATCAATTATTCTTTCAAATCGGTTTAGTCATGTTTTACTATTATCTGATCAGCTGTATGTTTTTACTCCATTTCAATTCACAACTTCGTGGATCTATTTTGGAGGAGATGCGGGATAATTGGGAGACTATTCATTCTGTGGAGGACAAACAAGTTATGCGTCACTATGCTGAATGTTCGAGAAAAATATCATTCATTTTCATTGCATTGAAAGTTTACACCGTGTTTGGTAAGTCTGCAGGGTGTCCCAAACCGACATATCGTGAGATTAGCTCAGGGGGGTTATTTGGAGACGAAAACTCTAATGAAATTTTTCTCTCCGACGCTTTGTTTATAAGTTGTCAAGAAAAAACGATAGTCAATCAAACGCTCTTCCCCGCTAGAGAGATCATACCCCTTTTCCCATTTAAGCCGGAGGGATGATGGCATTGAATGTACAATCGATTCTCATCAATTTCATTTCTTGATATTGAATGAGAGTGGAGATATGAATTTTTTACGTTGACTCTGATTTTTAGAGTCCTATTGCGTTTAGGAACCAAATGACTCTGACGCCGCGTTGAAATTCATTACAGGTTTTCTCAACCGCGTATGATGATAGAAGAACAGTTTTTTTCAGATCATTGTGCATTAAATGCCCAATCGATTGCCATAATTTTCATTCCTCCAGTCGAAGTGAGAGAGGAGATATGAATTTTCAAAAAGAGGGTGATTAGCGGTGGATTTGTGCTTTGCTGATGAATAACTCCTTAACGAACCGCCGGAGACAAAACTTTCATTGGAGTTTTCGTCTCCAAATAATTCCCCGAGCTACCCTCACGATTTGTCACATCAATTTTGGGACACCCTATATAACAAACTCTCCATTTCACACTTCAATCTTATTGGTGGATTCAGGCGGGTGGTTCAACCTAATCGTCAGTGCATTCATAAGGGGAGAAAACGTACTCGCTGGAACGAACAAGATGAAGTTTTTATTTCACCGGTCTGGTACATTCGTTGATGCTCTAGGAAGCACCTCTTTCGTCATCGGCGACATGTTATCGAATATCGCATCGCTTGGAATCGACACATGCTTCACAGTCTTGACCGTGCATACTTGTGGACGACTAGTTATACTTAAAAACAGGATAACGACATATGAAAGGCAAACTCGTCATCATTTTGAAGAGGACATACCGAGGATGTGCAGTTGTTTAAAGTGCATCGTTGATGCTCACGTGAAAATCTACGACTCCGTCAGAAGAATTGATGACTATTTTCATGTTGTGACTTTTCTGAGACTCTCTGCGGGAATGATCAACTTCGTCTGTATTGGATTCGAGGTTTCAAAGGTAAAAAATAGGATATTAAATAATGACAATATTTCAATCTTCTAACCTATCCAGGCAATTAAAAACAAGGACTACGGATTCCTGATGACATTCACAAATACGGCGTTTTTAAATTTCTCAACATTTTTTCTGAACTGTGAGACGACAGAAATGTGTCAACAAGCGAGTTATGCTCTTGGTCATGCTGCGTACTCCACTGAATGGCTGACAAAACACCCGAGAATTTCACGAAATTTGATTTTCATCATTAACCAAACGAGAGCTCCACTGAAATTCACTGCATTAAAATATTTTGTCCTTTCTCGGAATCTCTTCAAAGAGGTGAGCCGATGTTTCAATTCAATTGAGTGTTGATATCATTGAGATGATAACATAACTTTTCAATTTCTGTTGCAGTATTTCATAACAGCGATATCATATATCTCAACGCTGATATCTATCAAATTAGCCGAATGAACTCTCGGTAGTTGAAAAAGTACACTTTTCTTTCTGATGTTCATCGCAAGATTTTGCATTTCGACCGCAGTCTCAAAATGTATATTTCCAATGCAGAATCATGAAATTTCATATTCGCACTTAATTGTTGTCCAATTAAAGGGAGAGTACTGTGAGTTTTCAAAGTCGTGGGTTATTGGAATGAGACTTTTCATACGTTAAAGATCGATTATATAGATCTGAAAACGAATAATTAGTGCAAAAAACAATTTTTTTCGTTGGTCGTTTGCTCGAAAACGCTTAAAATGCCAAAAACAGTCCAGGGCCTCCCATTTTTGAGCTACGGAGGATTTTTTTTTCAAAATTTTTGGAAAAATATGTGGAACAACAATTACGAGCTAGTTTTTTTAATTCGCTTCTTACATAGATAAATTTGCTTTTTTTGTCTTTTTTTACACAAATAGTGAATTTTTTAATATGAAAAAAAAAAAAAAATCAGCTGTGGAGGAGCCGAATCCCCAAAAAACTGGCTCGTAATTGTTGCTCCACACGTTTTTCCGAAAATTTAGAAAAAAAAAAAATCTTTTGTAGCTCAAAAATTGGAGGGCAAACGAACAATAAAAATTTTTTTTTTTGCACTAATTATTCATTTTCAGATCTATATAATCTATCTGCAACGTATGAAAAGTCTCACTCCAATAACCCACGACTTTTAAAACTCATAGAAGTCTCCCCTTAAGTTGAAGTGAAGTTGATGAGATAAAGTACAATAAGTAAATACATCTGGAAACCGCAAAATTGTGAGTTTATGTGAGTTGTTTGTGTTGCGATCTGAAGAGAAACAACTGTTAAAGTGGTATGACAAATTCAGAAGGCACTGTGTAGTCGGATCTTTAGAATGAGAGTTCATTATAGACTCAATATTACAGACGATAAGTTTTTGAAGGATATTGCGATGGATGTAGAGAAGGAAAAGCGAGTTTGCCCGAATGAGAGAACAAAAAGTGAGATAGTTAAGATCGGATGGATATCGAGTGAATATGTAGGGCAATTTAACTCACTGGACGATGTATCTTTGGGTATTACCTCTATTCATTACAGTTGTGTGTAGTTACGGCACATTTCATTACAATAACTCATTACAGGGAAAATTCACAACAGTGCTTTTGATCACATGGACAATTCATCACGGAATTTTTGATTATCGCGTGCTTCACCAATTTAGATTGAAATTCAAGGGTGATTTCATTTTATTTTGTTATTGAATTGTAATGCAGAAGCTTCCTTTTTCTTTGAGATTATTATTGAATTGTATTGAAAGAACTGCAATAAAGTTGTACTTTAAACATTAAATAAAGGTTCTGTATCCCAATAATTGTATTCTCACATGAAATATAATGAATAAATAAAGCGATAGAAGAAAATATGGAGCTGAAATACTTTGTTTGATAACGAACTATGTTTCACTCCTTAACTTCCATCTGGTATTTTATTGAAATTTGTGGGTATCATTGTTGTCCGATTGTGCGTTTTCCTTTTTGGCGCGATTCACGAGAGGAAAAAGGACTCTGAGAGGTGAGAGTTTGCATACGAAATACCCAATAAATTTAACTCATCGTGGAGCTACTTTAAGGACGTAATTATGCGAAGAATGGCATGACTACAAATATGACAACATAGCCCTGACCTTTCTATTTTTCGATCGATCATGAGAACCGTAAAATGTGAATGTGAATTTCTATGCTCCTTGCACACACGCTGCAGTTCTTTATATACATAGAAATGATCCCTTGTTCTCTATCATCAGTGATATTTACCCGGAAAAATGATACATTACATGCAGAAATCGATTCAACACCCAATACAGACGTTATGAGTACAACATTAAAGCATTCTGTGAAATAAGTCTCTAGTCACCTACTGAGGTATTCATTTTTGCGAGTGTTGTCTTGGAGAGCTCGAATGCTGAGAATACGCGTTAGTTCCAAAACTGAATCTGCCATATTCAGACACAACAAACGTCGCTGTAAAATGTCCTGGCTCCGTCGAATGTGGAGTAGAAAATTCGATCAGTCTAGTGATGATGATTACTATCGAGAGATTCAGATCCCTCGCTTTTTTCTTGCTACCAGTGGCATCTGGACAGAACATGTAAAAACTAATAGAATCAGATTTTCCATTTTTGTGACCATACTGATACTGTTTGCCGCTCTACCTCGCCTCCTAGGCCTGTTCACCATCGTCAATGAGAATCAATTATTCTATCAAATCGGTTCGCTCCTGTTTTACGTTAATGTGATATGCGCCATGTTTCTACTCCGCTTCAATTCAGACATCCGTCGATCTGTTCTGGCGGAAATGCGCGATGATTGGGAGACTACTCATGACGTGGAGGACAAACAAGTTATGCAGTACTATGCTGAGTATTCAAGAAAGGTGTCATTGCTTGTCATTACAGTGAGAGGTGTTTCTTTAATCGGTAAGTGTACAACAAACTCACTACTTCAATCCTAGATCCAATATTATTGGATTCAAATTGGATCTTACTGGTGGATTTAGTCAGATCTTTGAATCCACTGATCACTTCAATCATAAGGGGAGACAACATGTCAACTGGCAAGAAGAAGTATCCGTTCCTGCCGTCTGGAACATTCTTTGACACTGTGAGCAGCATCTGTTACTTGATAGCCCGCATTGTATCTACTGTCACAATGATTGGAATCGACACGTTCTTCGCAATCTTGACCATTCATACTTGCGGACAACTAGTTATACTTGCGAAAAGGATCACAAGGTATCGAGGGCAAACTCATCATCAGTTTGGAGAAAACATCCCGAGGACCTGCAGTTGCTTGAAGTGCATCGTTGATTCTCACGTCAGAATCTGCGACTTCGTTAAAAGAATTGATAACTATTTTTATATCGTCTTCTTTATGAGACTGCTTGTGGGAGTGATTGACCTGGCTTGTAGTGGCTTCGAGCTTTCAAAGGTGAGAATCTAAATCAATGGACGACGGCAATGCTCTAATGCTTTATTCCATCCAGGCAATTGCTAAGGGCGAGTACGCATACCTGATGACATTCGTAATTTCTACGCTGTCAACCTCCTCAACCTTTTTGATCAACTGCTCAGTAGCAGAAACATGCCAGCAAGCGGGCTATGCTCTTGGTGATGCTGCTTACTCTGTTGAGTGGATCACAAAACAGCCGAGAATTTTACGACATTTGATTTTCATCATTCGTCAAACAAGACTTCCGCTAAAATTCACTGCGGGGAAGTATTTCATACTCTCCCGGAGTCTCTTCAAGGAGGTGAACCCACGTTTCAATTGAATTGTGTACTGATGGCTTTGAGGTGATGACATTATGTTTTTTCTTTTTTTGTTGCAGTATTTCCTAACAGCCATGTCTTACATCTCAACACTTATAACTATCAAATTAGGCAAATAAAAAGTGTCCAAATGAATCACGATAGACGGAGCAAATTATTTGGTGAATAAAATTGAAAAATCTTTCTGAATTTTAATTCATTTGTTGTTAAATTTCACCAGCTAGTTGTTGAAAAAATGAATTAGCATCTAGTTGTTGAAATTCACTAAATAATTTCCTCCGAGTACGTGCGTTCCTGGTGGTCATATAAAAAAACTGGTGCTCTAGACCAGCGAAGTTGATGAAATGAGGTGCACAAATACATGTGAAATCCTTGAATATGTATATATAGATATTGCGATCTTAAAAATACAAGGCATGAAAAAATATAAATTTGGGAAGTGAAGAAGAATTTATGAGTTGAAAAAAATAAGAAATACCATATTTTTTCCGCACGATAAACAATTAGGCAATTTATATTAGTTTAGATATAAAGATAAACTGCACACATGAAAAAATGAAAAATATGACGGGGAAAAAATGTTTGGCTTTTGAAGAATTTGAACATACCGGGGATTTTTTCAGCGACTACTTCACGTGACTCATTGACCAATTAGAATTGAGGATTAGCGGTCAGGCAGTTTCGAGATATTCCGATATAAAACAACTTCACGTTTCTTTCATCTGTAGTAAATAGGATATATCCTTTAAAATAAATTGAAGCTGGAAAAGCTACGTCACCAGTGGAAATAGATCATTTTTCCCACATCTTCAGCCCCCAGTGAGAGCCTTTCTTTTCCCAACTTCCGGTTCACATGGCCCGGAATATTTTCCCTCATAATCCTAATAAATCGAATATCTAACCGTCAGTTCTTCTGCTCTAGCTTGACGCGCATCCCCTTGGCCAAGGTGAAAGGGGATTCGGGGGAGAAAGAGATGCGGCAATGGCTGAAGAGAGAGTGGGAATAATAAAGAGTCAAACTTCAGTTGCCAGGTGCCCCCTGGGTTGGCATATATAAGAAGGAAGCCGTCCAAAAGCAGTGCGTGTCATTAGAGAGACATGAAAAGACTTGACAAATGACAGTCTGTCTCGTCTTGAATGTGAATTGGCGCCCCCTATCTGTTGACTTGTTTGTTTGCGGTCGCACATTGTCAGGGGGGGGGGGAATGGGGAAGAAACGGGTACGAGTGGAAAAAAAACCTCGGATAACTCGAGTGTGTGTTCATTTTTTCGACATTGAATAGTTGAATATCGGGTGAGAATGACGATTCGCTATGGCTTCTTTGGGGATGTTTTGACGGCTGTTTGACGAGCGATTGTCCTACCGTGCTTTTAAGTCTCGAGTACCTTTCACATGACTAATTCGGGTCCCGTCGACTGTGCGGATTGCACTATTCACTGGCGGAATCAGTTGAAGTCACTAGCAAGACTTTTTTCAACTTTAACAGAATCATTAATGAGATGGAGCGACAGTCGGGGTCACACGGGTTGCGTGCTGCACCGGCAGTCGTCCAAAGTAAGCAGCATTTAGTCTTGATAGTACTTGGATGGGTGTCCGCCTAGCCGTAGCTCCGCGAGTGGAACTGCTGCTGCCACGCGTGGAGGGAGCGAACTACTGCGCGCATCTAGTCAGTGACCGCTGGACACAGTAGGACCCTACAATATCGTCCGGCCACTCGTCCGAATGGGGTGCACATGAATATGATGGGAATAGTGGGAGAAAAAGCATAACGGCGGACGGAATGGGAAGCCTTGTAAAACCGTAACGGTAGTAGGAACGAAATGTGAATGAAAAAATTAATGAGATGAATCCGCAATTAGGAGCCACTCACATCGCCTTGTCTCTTGGATAAGAAGAACTAGCCAAGGTAAGATCGAACTCCAGATGCATCTCCAGACCTCGATGAGCCCAGAATGTTGGAGATGCCGATAGTCACCACTGTATTACGTCTATTCCCAACTGAAGACACTGTCGAGATCCAGCGCTAATCGTTCACGTTTTCGCCATAACGCCCGATTCGCCGGGGCCAGGCCGGCTTCTTTACGGCATTGTTCGCGTCCTGAGGATCGCTATCTTAACTAGCCTCGTGCGCGGTAGCCTGTATACTCCATCAGGAGGGACTGTATCGTCTGGTGGATGTGAGCATACACCAGCTCATTTTGTTTTCTTCTCATGCATCGCTTCTCGGAGGAGTGCGATTGTGGTGGTTAGTCGCTGGATAGACTACACCTGACGGCAGTAAAACAAATGTTGCCTTGGGGAACTTGGAAAACGCTTTAGATCTGGCACTGATAGCAGCCAGTTCACGAGAGGTGCGAAGAGATAATATTGGGGGCTTGATGGAAACACTGGGATTATGGGTATATGAAATTCATTATGAGGTGGGTGCAGCGTGAACTATACAAGTGCATTTTTGATATTTTTAATCTAGGTAGGTTCGCGGGAAAACTAGGGATGGGCGATGTTTGTCGATCAATCGAAAACATCGATTTTCCATGCCCCAATATCGATGTTTTTCATTCGATGTTTTCAACGGCCGATTAAAAGATTTTCGATTTTTTCCCAACATCGATGTTTCTGACCAAGTTGACAAAATTTTTCATTTTGTTGTCGAATACTAATGTTGATTGATTGAGAATTAACAAATTCATGATTCATCCGCAATCAGAAGTCATTATTTTCTACAGTATGTGTGTTATAAATGATGAGTGAACAAGTCCAGTCGTTTATTGCTTTTTTTAATTTAAATTTTTAGCAATTATTGCAGCTAACATCGAGCCACGGAAAATATTCAATATATTTTTTTCAATTAAAAATTCAACTCTCCAGCAGAACTTATCATTGAAATGTAAGTTCCTCGGGTTGAATTTTTTGAATATATATATATATATATATATATATATATATATATATATATATATATATATTTTAATAAATACGAGAATTAAAAAAATTCTTTTTAAAAATTTGTTTTTTTTTGTGTGTAATGAGAAAAACATAGATTTTTTAAAATAATCGCTGTTTTTTCCAGAAAAATCGATTCACAACATCGATGGTTTTTAAAACATCGCCCAGCCCTAGGGAAAACCAAAATCTCGCGAGTCTTTTAGACGTATTTGACATTCGTGTGCAAACATTTCGTGATATAGTAACTAGTGTCTTCAAAATGTATTAATTCTAGACATTAGACAGAAAAATGTGACCTATCGGATAACTTCATGAGATTGAAATGTAATTAATTTAGGAAGTGACACCCGATTGTGTTTTTTGAAGTTTTCATTTCGATTATCAGAATTTTAGACACATTTATATGTGGAAAAATTTTCGATAAAACAACAGGTGAAATAATTTTTTATGTTTTTCAGGCACTCGTTTCGCTAGTTCAAGAAAAAAAATTTTCTGACGAAAGACAAAACGAATTTAATAGAGATAAATTCTAGCGTGTGCCGTTATCACTACAGATTAATCCCGATCCACAACTCGAAATCGCCAGCGAAATGACAATGCCAGAGATCCTGTTGCCCGTCCCACTCAGTTTTCCTCGAATTTCACAGCGAGCCATCAACAATTCCAGATTTGAAAGATTTCTCAAAGTGAAAATGCACTAAGTGCCATTAAATACGGCCCGTGTAGATGTCATCGTACATGTCCAGCTCGCTAGGATGGATGGCTTCCCTCTTCTTTCACCGAGGCAGGTATATTTATCCGAAGTGTAGACACGGGGTTCTTGTGTAAACAGAGACGTGACGGGAGGTGATATCAGGAGTTGAAAAAAAGTCCCCGCTTTCGGCGGAAGATTGAGTGGGGGCTGAGCGGCGATCTATTGAGATCGATATGTAAGGATTATGCGCAGCATTAAAAACATTCTCACCACGTTAAAGAGAATAGAATACAATCGAACAAGAATAGGATTTTTTTAGATATTTTACAAACGAAAGAAATAAATGACGAATAGAAATATATATGTATTAAATATATTATTTAATGAATAATAATTTTTTTAACAGGTCTTGAGCCCCTTCTCCTCTTTTACTGAGATGTTCCGCTCAAACGGAGCCGAGAACTCAATGACATAGATGATTTTGTCGTCAAAATCGAAGAGGACGATATCAGGCTTTGTTGCAACAACATGCCTAATGGTCACAAATGAGAAGTTCCACTATAAAGAAATCCACTGAAACGTTTTTTTGTCATCCCAATTGTATAATAGTAATACAGGGTGTCCCATTTGAAACAGTACGGCTTAATATCTCTCGTAGGAAGGGGAGGACAGCAAAATTTGTTCAAATACAAGTTGTAGGATTCGGAGGGGGAAACTTAATGCTGATGAAATCCAGGCCACCATTGCTTATGTTTATGCTACGAGCATAAAGTCAGTTTTTTTAAATGACAACAATATTTTTCACCCCTACAAAAGTTGTTCGTCTCGCCGAGAAAAGTTCAACCATACCATATTTTTATTTTTTATAATAACCTATCGACGACGCGCTGAGAGCGGGCGACCTATTCTAGTCCAATAGATTTTACACCTCTCATTCACGACAACGGAGTCAATACCTCCTGGAACATAAGGCAATACCGACGTTCCGTCCATGCCATAACTGTCGCAGGTAGTAGAACAGCACTCTCTATGCCGCGTTATGTCGATGAATATAACTCGAGATCGCATATCTCGGACAAGCCGACGAAAGATGCGTTAGAATTTCCGGGGACTGCTTGCAAGCCCAACACCGAGTGTGGGGAACTTGCAATCCCATGATCCGGCTTCGATAGTCTAATATGTTTATTAAGCCGTCCTGGTGCGCACACATGAAACTCTTAGTCTGACATCAAGCCAGCTGACTTCAAGAATGAAAATAATATTATTATTACGACATTTCAACCAGGGAAATGATTGAAAAAAATTACATAAACTATTAATATCCATTATATTAAATTCTTTACAATAATATTCGAATAATATCATTGATAGAACTGATATTTTAACTGGAATATTCTGAAAAATAAATTGGCTATCAATTCGGAAATCTATAATTATTATTTATAAAATAAAGATGTTATTTATAATTAAAGTTGAAA